AGAAAAGCACTCAGAGAGCGCAGACCTCCACCAAGGACTACCCCCATTTTTTATATAAATTGCAATAAAATCAGTCTTCTGGATCAGATCCAGATCAGCCTTTGGAATATGAAAGAGGATCCCATTGTCCATCCCTGAGTCAAATTTCATGGGGTTTGGTCAATAATTAACCGAGATATTGATAAACAAAATTTTTGGCCCCATTTACCACAATGTTAACTAAAATTTCAAAGTGATCTAGAATCCAGGATTTCTTTCGGATCACCCCCAAAATGAAATCAGTTCTTCCTTTTCACATTTCCGACAAATCCTGAAAATTTCATCAAAATCGGTCCATAACTTTTTGAGTTATGTTGCTAACAGGCAAACAAACAGACAAACGCCGGTAAAAACATAACCTCCTTGGAGGTAACAAACTAGGAGTCTCCCAGTCTCCACCTTCTAGTACTGGGCCACAGATTTCAAAATACATTATATTTCAGTTTTGTAATACTTAGCCGGTTGTTTTGTACTACAAGTTCTAAAGGAAACCATTTATTCTTGGCGAGTTAAGACAATAATTATACAAAATGAGATCAAGTTGAGAGCGTTTGTAATATGTTTGCTATAGGCAGGGAGCTAGACAAAAACACTCCTACACACATTTCCTACAGGCTTTTTGGTCCCCTGTGAAATATGAGAATGCCAGCCAACAATATGGTGCAGAGTGGCCCAGAGCTGCAGAAAATACTGTGCAACGCCAAACAAAGCCATGATATGAAAGTGAAGAGAGTTTCTGTTCCACTGTTCAGAATATTGAGACTCAGGGAAAAGCTGTAGTACTATAGTAAAAGTAATAATTCGAGTAATAATGTGCCATGGTGTTGGATGGAAATGTACTGGAATTCATTTTAAATTAAATTATGGATTTTATGATCTAATTCCATTATCAATTACAGTAAGTATGGGAAGATTGGAAAGGAAACATTTACTTTTTATGGTGAAATGAAGCTTTAATCGTTGATCTAGAGCAGGGGTATCCAAACTGTGGCCCGGGTGCCAAATGCGGACCTCACAGAAATTTTTGTTGGCTCTCAGGAACCTGCTGAATCAATCCAAGTGATTATGGACAGTACGTTCTTCTGCAAGTTCAAGTATTTCTAACAATGCCACTGCTATAAAAACTCAATGCACTGTGACTTAAATTAGTGTTACAATATATGATGTAGTTGTGGATATTTGTACTCTGCATTTTTTTGTTTTTTTTTTTTTTTTTTTGTATGTGTGTGCCCCATTGTGTGTTTTACTTTTTTTTTTTTTTACTTTTTAAATTTTGTATCTATTTTATATTGTTAATATTATATTTTATTTTATTTATTTTTGTTGTTATTATTTGGCTATTTTATTTACATGTTTTTCTGTTATGTAAAACATAAAAAATGTGAATTTAAACTTATTGGTTTAATTTTGTTTATTTAATTTATATATACGTTTTTAATTGTATTGTTTTTATTTATTTATTTTTTTTTTTGTAATTTTATTTATTTATTTACTTTTTTGTATTTTATTGTAGTTTATATTTACAGTTTATTTTAATGATTATCTGGCACTGTTGTTGTTGTTGTTGTTTTGGAGTATTTGTTCTAAACTGAAAATGCTGATAAATAAAATTGTAAAAAAAAAAAAAATAAAAAAATGCATAAAAATTTGTGTTCCAAGACTTTTTACAGGTACAGTGGTTCTGTCAAACTTATGTAAAATGCACCTGAAAAACTTTCTGTATTCACCACCTGTCTGCAACTGTGGTCCTCCGCTATCAATATGAGTCCACACTGTGTGCATAATTATTAGGCAAGTTGTATTCATGAGGATTTATTTTTATAATTGAACAACTACAGTGCTCTGGGTCAATCCGAAATGTTGATAAACCTCAAACTTAATATTTCAGAAGGTAAAAGTGAAGTTTTGGCTTAAGAGAAAATCTATGTGTGCACAATTATTGGGAACCTAATCTGCCCTACAAAGGCAGAACGCCGTAACATCATGTCAAAAATTAGTTCATGTCATTTTAATTGTATTTGAGACCTCCTTTATCATGTGAATAAATAACGTGAAAAAATATTGAGCGCAAAATTGACCTCTGACCTGCATAACTCCTTATTTTTGGCACATGATACAAAGGCAGAGAACAGGTCGTGTTTGAGCTCAATATTTTTCACATACAAATATTTCTTCATTATTCATTTCATCCAGCTAAACTCTGACAAGACTGAAGTCATAGTGTTTGGTCCACAGAAACAAAGGGACAGTGTCAGCATCACCTCCAGTCTCTCTCTCTAAAACCTTCAAATCAGGCAAGAAATCTAGGGGTAATAATGGACTCAGACTTGAACTTTAACAGCCACATCAAATCAATAACATCTGCAGCCTTTTACCATCTAAAAAACATAGCAAAAATCAAAGGTTTACTGTCTAAATCAGACTTGGAGAAACTTATCCATGCGTTTGTCTCCAGTAGGTTAGATACTGTAATGTTCTGCTCACTGGTCTCTCCAAACGAGCTGTGAGACGCTGCAGAACATCCAGAACATCCAGAACATCCAGAACATCCAGAACATCCAGAACATCCAGAACATCCAGAACGCTGCAGCTCGGGTCCTTACTTGAACTAGGAAGTACGAGCACATAAGTCCTGTGCTCAGGTCTCTGCACTGGCTCCTGTGGCTCAGAGACTTTAAAGCCGCTCTGCTTGTGTACAAGTCTCTCCATGGCCGAGCACCAAAGTACATCTGTGACATGTTAGTGTCATATGAACCATCTCGCACTCTGAGGAGCTCAGGGACCGGCCTCCTGCTGGTGCCCAGAGTCTGGACTAAACAAGGGGAGTCAGAGTTTCAGGTTCATGCAGCTAAAACCTGGAACAGTCTGAACATGTGAGACAGACTCTTCTGTGACGCTGTTTAAATCCAGGCTCAAAACATTTCTGTTTAACTGTGCAAATAACTGAAAGGTTTTCATTCCGCACTCTTCTCTCCAATTTATGTCTCTCTTTTTTTAATCTTCACGATTATTTATGTTTTGATTTGTTTTTATTATGATTTTAATGTATTTCTTATTCTGTAAAGCACTTTGAATTACTTTGTGTACGAATTGTGCTGTACAAATAAACTTGCCTTGCCTTGCCTATAGCAACTAGTTGTCAAATTTTGGGAGCCCTACCTATTATAATTTTGTCTGGACAAAACTAATTTGAAGTCATTTTTCTCAGTTTGACACTCTGGAGAATTAAGGTCTTTTGCCTTTGTAGGACAGTATTAATGTGCAAAATTATTACGCAACTAATGAAAAGTGAACATATTCCATTTTCATTTGTTCATTTTCATCTGTCTTTTTTTCCTCAACACTTTTCTTGCAATAAAACGTTTGCTGGTTCTGTGACCACGCCCCAGTATCTTCACAATATCAAGAGTGGTGCACGTTCTGAAAACTTTTGCAGTTTTTGACTTTTTAGAGCCAGTTAAATCTCTTTTTTGGCCCTTTTTGCCTGAGGAAAAGAAGCTGCTCAATAATTCTGCCCACCTTGATTTAGGGTGTTGATCTCCTTAAGCCAAACCCTCCCTCGTTAGACAAATCCACATCAGCGGATCTGCTTTAATCCACTAAGAATTCAAGTTTATACAGCTTGGAGTTGGAGAATATGCATAAAAATCATGATATGGTCAAAATACCCACTTGAGTAATAATTGTGGACACAGTGTATATGCAGTCTTCAGTGAGAAACCTCTGGACTCCCCTGATCTAGAGTTTAATCTGTTGTTTTGACACATGACACCACCTCAGCTGAGTTGCTATCTCGACATTGCATTAAGGGATTTCTTCTTAATAAAATCAGAAATATGAAAACACAATCCAGGTCTTGGAATCTGTGTATCATTCCTTCATTTGTTTTTCAGTATATAAAACCAAAAATAAGAACTGTTTTCTTCATTATTTGTCTCCAAAACCAAAATGGAAAAAACAGATAATGGCCATTTCCCGTTTCCCTGACTTAAACTGTGATAACGAACTGAACCAGGACTAAACCAGGATTAAAACTGGACTAAACCACTTTCCGTCCTGGTTTGATCCCTGTCTCAGTCTCGGTCTGGTCCCAGTCTTGGTCCCGGTCTTAGTCCCGGTCGCAGTCTCGGTCTCAGTGCTGATCCTGTTCCCGGTCTTGTCCCGGTCTAAGTCCTGGTATAAGTCCCTTGCTCAATCCGGTCCTGGTCCAGTCCCGGTCGAAGTCCCGATCTCAGTCCCCAGTCTCAGTCCTGGTCCTGGTCCGGTCCCAGTCTAAGTCCTGGTCTAAGTCCCATTCTAGTCCAGGACCTGTTTTAGTCCTGGTTTAGTCCTGGTTCAGTCTGACATCGCAGTTTAAGTCACAGGAACGGGAAACGGTCGTTATCTGTTTTTTTTTCATTCTTCATTTAAACACAAAATCGAAAACTGAAAAAACAAATCGTTAATCGTTTTTTTCATTTTGGTTTCGGAGACAAATAATGAAGAAAATAGCTGTTTTTAATTTTCTTATTTTTGGTTTTATATTGAAAAACAAATGAACGAATGATACACAGATTTCTTGGCTGTAACGGAGGTGAAATACTGTAAATTATCACGTGTTTATATTGCAACTTTCCACTTTTAAGCCACTCAAAGCTCTTTACATCCAGCAACCAGTGCAAATGTCCGTATCAAAATAGATAAATAAACATAATAAAGATTTCTTGTTAAAGTTTATGCTGATATCTAGTGGATAATATGACTAGGGTTGCCAGATATCAGGTGAGAAACAAGCAAACCGATCTAAAACAACAAGGACAAACTCGGAGCCACCACAGCTCACAGGTCTAACGATACAGAACAAAAACTCGCAAAGAAGTTCAAACAAGAAACTCTCTCAGAAGCAAGCCCCAAAGAGCACTTATAAAAAACCAGCCGTGCATAAACCAGCGTAGGAGAACATTGCGTGAGTGGTTTCCTACCTTCTTGGACAGCCTGGAAAGGGTTGTTCCCGTCCACAAACTCCACAGATACGGTGACCTTCTCCGTCTCCAGAATCTCGTTGTTCAAGTTGAGGTCGGCCACGGCGAGCCGGAAAACCTCGTCATCCTTACGGGCAGACTCGTCAAAAATGGCACCTGAAAGAGGAGATTAGAAAGTCAGTTATGAGGATTTAAATCAGCAAAAAGCAAAATTACAGACATGTCCAAGTATGTCATATTTATGTGTATGTTATGGTACTCGAAACCTTCTATAATGCATTATTCTTTCACTCTCAAGATTTGTTAAAGGCCCAATAATACACTATTTTCTGACACGTGTTATAATGTTTCCTCATCTCAAACAGACAGCAAAGTTCTGTGCATAATTAGGCTGAGTTCTTCCCTCAGACGGGAAACCATCTGTTCCAACTTGTGATGTCATGTGTTAAAACAGGAAGTGCTCCACTAGAATCATTTGGATCATTTTAGTTCCAGAAATGCCTTTCTCTGCTGAAGAAAAGGTAAAAGGTCGCCGTTTTAACTTGAAAACTACAGCTTCATGACATCACAAGGTGGAACAGAGCATTTTGAGCTCTGGAGATGTAGACAGACCAATATTAAAGGTACAAAACACAACTGTAGGTATGTTTTCACTGCGGTAACAGCATTATTAATCATGAATTAATTAGCCATTGCATTTATATAAGGCCTTTTAAGACACCCAAAGACGCTTTACAGTTCATTATTCATTCACTCAACACTCAGTGACGGTAAACTACTACTGTAGCCACAGCTGCCCTGGGACAGAAGCGAGGCTGCCCCATCGGCCCCTCCGACCACCACCATCACTCACACACACATCACTTTCATACTAGGCAATGTGGGTGAAGTGTCTTGCCTAAGGACACAATGACAGTTTTGCCACTGGCCTCCACTGTGGCTCCTGGTTTTCCCAGTGTCTCCCATCCAAGTACAAACCAGGCCCAGTCCTGCTGAGCTTCTGAGATCTGACAAGATCAGGCTTTGACAAACCGGTACGGCCACATTATCAATCAATCAATCAAACTTTATTTGTATAGCACTTTTCATACATTTGAAATGTAGCACAAAGTCACATTATGACTTGACTTAAAGGTTGTATAGAGGATTTTTAAGGGAATGCATGCATGACACCACCTTCCTCCTCCACAGGTCCCTCTACAAATAATATAGAGACCGACACCTCAGTTTTTAGACCCTTCGTCTGCTTCATTCGCGCAATCTCTGAAAGGAATCTCCAAGAATCACCTCAGTTTGTCCTTGCTCCTTTTCCCCTTCTCTTCTTCTTTCAGCGACCTCAAAAACTGACTTTCTTTTGCGGGGAACTGGTCGTGGAGTCTCATCTGACATCGCAACAAACTTTGTGCGAACTGCGAGGAAGCTACAATTAGAAAAAGCCTCTAAGAACCGCTGCATAGTTACCCTAGAAACGTAGGGAGTTAGATTGACAACCTAAGAGCCAATAGAAAATGAGGGAGCCTTTTTATCTATTGGCTGATGTTTATCTGGCCTCACTACGTCCACAGTTGATAGATTTGTATTCTTTTTTTGTTTTTTTGTCATCATAATTACAAGGCTGCTGAATCTCTGTAATGGTATTTTAAACTTTCATTGACAATTTGAAACAAAAAAAAATCCTCCATACAACCTTTAAAGCTCACAAGAGTCAATTTTGTGTACTGTATTTTTCAGACTATAAGGTGCAGTTAAAATCCTTTAATTCACAAAAATTGACGGTGCGCCTTATGTATTTATTCTGGTTGTGTTTACTGACCCCGAACTGATTTTATGTGGTACACAGCGCTCAAAAATCTGTCAAAATGTTTTAGTACGACTTTGGTAAACTACGAAGTCGCACCGGTTGATGGATTGTCTGAGCATTACAAGTTGCGGAGTAACACACATTCGCCAAGACGTGGGCGACGCCGGGTGAGTTACACCGCGATCTGCCAACGGTGTGTGGACTCCTGGGCTAAGGGATCAGCCTCAAGTGACGCTCGAGCTTTCATGAATCATCACTGAACAACTAAGTTACAGCAACAAGACTAACTCAGATAATGACGAGAGGATCCGGGCTTGATGCCGAAATCGCTCAACTGTTAAACTCAGACACTTGAAGATGGAGAATTTGATGGATTTTATGTGTTACAACTGAACAATGCTGAGTTATTGTGAAAAAGTTGAATAAAGTTTGACTGTTTTGTTTCACTTAATGCGCCTTATGTATGAAAATAGATGAGAAAATTATTGATATTGCGCCTTATAATCCGTCGCACTTCATCGTCTGAAAAATAAGATCTTTAAAACATTTCCAAGTCACAACTGTCCTGGGGCTGACAGACGAAAACGTGGCTTCGAGTCTGTGCCAACTGTCTTCTCCAACCAGCAGCGATCCAAACCTGTGTGTGTGCGTTGCCCAAGGACACAACAGCATTATGAAGTGTCAGTCCCTCAGGCTTCGGGAAGTAACGGCAGCTGATATGTGACGCGTTCGCAAGCACGGTGACAGTTCAATGAATGGCTCCCAGCTAGCAGCCAAAACATGTCAAGGAAGTAATCAAACTCCTCATACGTCGTCTTTAAATGAACCAAAAGTTTGTGGATATGAAAATAAAATAAAGGTGTGTGGATTAAAGGGCCTATGTTTCCCAAAATGGTGAGATTTAAGCCATGTTATAATGTGGTTAACTCATCAAAAACATACCTCAGGTTGGAATTAAAAGGGTAAATCGTCATGTAAAATAGTTTATAGGAGTTTTTTTTTCCATTTTCAAGGCAAGTGCATCACATCAAGGGACTTTTCATCTACTCACACAGAGTCCAGCGTCAGTTTACACACACACACACTAGGAGCGGGTTTCACCTGTCGGATTTGACTGCTCTACTGACAGTGTTTATGTTTGCAGCTGGATTTGGGCCGCCAGCCTTTAGGTCTGAAGAAAACTCTCTACATCAGGGGTCGTCAATCTCGACTCCAGCCCCCAGTATTTATATTTAAATAATTATATGACCGATTTGACATACATTTGCCAGTGAATTTTCGTCACTTGACAATCTCGAGATCAAACAGTGAAGGTCGACGCAAGTGCAGAGTTCTGTAGCGTGGTTAAGTAAAACGCAAAGAACAGAGAACAAGAACAATAAATATCGTACCATGAGATTCATATCATGAAAATATCGTACCAAGAGATTCATATCGTGAAATATTGCACTGCGAGATCCGTATTGTGAAAATATCATTCAGAGAAATCAATATCGTGAAAATATCGTGCTGAGAGATTCTGAGAGATTCATATCACGAAAAGGTTGTACTGAGAGATTTAGATCTCGTTACATCCCTACTTTTTCTCTTAAGAGTCGGATTTACGTAATATAGGATCTTTAAAAAACTAAACGTTCTGAACTGCTCGCATTTCTTGTATTTATTATTTTCTTCATGTAAATATTTCCGTAGTTTTCAAATGTCTCTTGGATGTGAAGAGCACACTGCCAACAAAATCTTATCAAATTTTGCCAGAAAAATTGCAATTTGAAACCAAATATTCCCCAAATCCTCGGCTCGGCGGTCTTCAGGGAGAATAAAAGGCTGGTAGACGTGGCCCGTTCCACATAATTAGCCATGTGTTATCTTTTTGTTCATTAACTCGCTCTCAGCTGTTCATTTGAAGCCATTTTGTCCCTGAACCCATTGAGCTACTAATTGTGTAAAGCCAGTTCATTGAGGCAAAGCTAACCGCATCCCACTGACCAGAAAATAAGGCTAATACACCAGATGTGCAGCTGCAGGGCCTCAAAACGCATCAGGACGGAGTTTTGTCAATAAAACAGTTAGACAAGACTGATACAACATTATATTTTATGGTATTATATGATATTAAATGGTTTCTATCACGCCGTTTTCTAATCTATTTTATGTTATAATGTTGTTTCCTCATCACAAACCGACCTGCAGTTGTGTTTTGCTTCATTCACGCTTGTTTAACACAAAAGAGTTCTTCCCTTTAACGTAAAACACTCAGTTCACTTGGTAATATAGGAAGTCAGAGGTGGGACCAAGTCGTGGTTTTGTGAGTCTCAAGTAAGTCAAGTCTTTGGCCTTAAGTCTCAAGTCAAAGACAGGCAAGTCCAAGTCGAGTCTCGAGTCACTGGCCCATAAGTCCAAGTCAAGTCCAAATCGTCTGCTTTGAGCTACAAGTCTTTAAACCAAAATACCAAATATATCTAAAATTCATATAAATTGCAAAAAATCATAAACTAAATTTTACTTAAAATTCATGGTAAATGTATATATGAGTATTTATATAAGAGTTGTAGAAATCCAAATTTTTCCTTTTTAAATGTCTTGGCAAGATCTTAGTGCGAATTATTACGGTCAAAATAGAAAGAATTCAGATTTAAAAGAGCTAAATACCAGTTATTGTATCGTATGTCTGCACTGAAATGGAAGGATCATGTTCTGTGTAGTTCCCTCTGTTTGACTGTATTGTACTTCACATTACTATATTGTACTGCATATTACTGTATTGTACTGTATATTACTGTATTGTACTGTATATTACTGTATTGTACTTCACATTACTATATTGTACTGTATATTACTGTATTGTACTTCATATTACTGTATTGTACTGCATATTACTGTATTGTACTGCATATTACTGTATTGTACTGCATATTACTGTATTGTACTGCATATTACTGTATTGTACTGTATATTACTGTATTGTACTTCACATTACTATATTGTACTGTATATTACTGTATTGTACTTCACATTACTATATTGTACTGTATATTACTGTATTGTACTGCATATTACTGTATTGTACTTCACATTACTATATTGTACTGTATATTACTGTATTGTACTTCACATTACTATATTGTACTGTATATTACTGTATTGTACTTCACATTACTGTATTGTACTGCATATTACTATATTGTACTGTATATTACTGTATTGTACTTCACATTACTATATTGTACTGTATATTACTGTATTGTACTTCATATTACTGTATTGTACTGCATATTACTGTATTGTACTGCATATTACTGTATTGTACTGTATCTGTATTGTACTATTATATATTGTACTGTATTTACTGTATTAC